GAACCGCTCAGACGTTACACACTCAATATATGTCGTCCATCTATCTCCTAAGATGAATGGCAATTTGAATTCCCACCAAACCACCACCTCATTCCACCTTTAAAAATCGTTATCCCTCGCATATCTTTTTTTTTGTGTTATACCAAAAATCATGCAACCTACTTCCTTAGTAAGAAAATTAGAATTTAGAACATAAAATTATATAAAAAAATTATTTTTGATGTTACCTAGTTGTCGCGTGATTCTCCCATACCCTCCTAAAAGATATAAAATTATAAAAATAATTTATTAAAAATAAGGTGAAAATTAAAGGTTAACACCTACCTAAAATCACTGAAACCATACATCGATATTAGGTCTCCACTCAGGATGTTTGGAAACTTGACTCCATTAAAATAATAGAATCTTCATCGATAATTTAAACGCTGATATTATTATCCTAGCAACCTCAATGTTTGTGAACATGAAATTAAATTAAATTAATAAAATATTAATTAGTTGTTCATAAATTATGTTATAAGTATTAAAAAAACTAAATCCTAAACAAACTTACATTGAGAGGTTATCCTTCCATTGTGCTTGGTACTTGTGGATGAATTGACCCCACTATGAAGGCACACCGCTTCTATGCTGTGAAACTGTGCTAAAAGAGATAGCATCACAAGTTGGCGTAGCTACCTCATCGTGATCAGTACCTAAAAATAAGTCCTCCTCGTTGCCTGAAGAACAAGCTTCCTCATTGCTAGAAGAACTAACTACAACCATCTGCCAACGACGTGCTATAGATTTCATTTGACGCATCTACACAAATTTATACGAATAATTATATAATTAACTTCGATTATTAAAAAAAATTAGCAGCACCTCCCCTATACTAGAGATTACCCACAGTTTTCAAACCTACAAATCTTTACAGTAACCACAAACCAATTAACTCCATTGAAAAATTTTATATACAATTTAACATCTATAGAAATTTAACATCTATACATTTCCAACTAACATCTATAGAAATACATAAATGACAATTAAAATTAATGAAAATAATAAAAAATATAACAACCAATAATATGATAAAATAATTAAATTTAATTCTATTTTTCAACTAACATTTTAAAGGTAATTCAGCAGTCTCAATCAATTCAACGATGTTGGGTTTTGCTTTATTAATTTAATATTTTTCTCAAAACCATTTATGAGTAACTTTTAGTTTTTAATACTTGAAACTTTAATTTGGGTATTGGATGTTGTTTTCTTAATTGTAACGTTTTATGATGATATCTGTTAAAAGGTGCAGGAATGGCTTTTTCCTTGCAACGTGACACCTATTCAGATCTCAGGAGTTTGAATCGCATTTTAAAAGAAAGATGAGAGCATTTGTTGGTTTTTTTGTTAGAGGGATTTGATATTGTGATTTATATATATATTACATGATCGTGGAAGTGACAAAAAACGAGAGAGGTCAATGGTAAGTTTCCTTGACTTTTTATTTTATGTGATTGTAGAAATATATAAATGATAATTAAAATTAATAAAAAAATATAACAACCAATAATAGAATAAAATTGAGATAAAATAATTAAATTTAATTCTTCATTTTCAATTACCATTTTCATTGTAAATTAAAATTCAACAATAACAATTGAAATTCAACAAAATTTTTAAATAATTATTACTATACAAACAATAAAATAAATAAATTTTCATTCTACACATCAACACAAATTTATACAAATAAGTACAAGATTAAATTCAATTATTTTAAAAACATTTATCAACACTTCCTCCATATTAGAGACTACCCACAGTTTTTATACCTATAAATATTAATAATATTCACAAGCCAATTGACTCCATTGCAAAACCTTATATATAATCTAGCATTTATATATTTTTAACTAACATCTATACAAATTCATAAATAACAATTAAAATTAATCAAAATAATAAAAAACAAAACAAGCAATAATGTAATAAAATTAAAATAAAATAATTAAATTTAATTCTATATTTCAATTAAAATTTTAAAGGTAAATTCAACAATAACAATTCATATTTAATAAAATTTTCAATTATTATAGCAATACAAACAATAAAATAAATTGAACAAATAAAAAAACCAAAAAACTTTAGGAATGAAAAATGTTTACCTTAATAGTGTGTTGATTTCTAGATTTTATCTATAAACAATACACAAAACAATGAACACCACAAAAATAATCATAATGAAAAAAAAAAGTAAAAAAATACAAAGATAAAGAAAGGAGAATCATACCTTTTAATATGTTGAAAACTATAATAAAAACAATAAAAATACGTTGAAAAACGTAGAAGATTGACACTGAAAGGAGAAGAGAAGAAATTAGAGGATCCAGGAAAAAAATAAATCGTAGAGTGGGGGTGTTGGTTTTATGCTGCAGGTTTATCGATGAAATTACCGACAAAAAATTGAGTAAATGTTTTTTGGGTGGTGGCATTAAATTTTGTTGGAAACGTCCATCAGTATTCTTTTGAAATTCACACTAAAATTTTGAAAATTCCTCTAGATTTTTTGACTTCCATCAGAAAGTCCATCAATAACTTTGTGGGCGCTGCTGCGGTTGACGAAGGGAAGCTTGTTTAGTGTGTGCAGCGGCGGCTGACTTCCATAGGTGAAGAAGAAGAGCAATCGGTTGGGAAAGGAGAGGATATCAAGAGTGTTGGCTGTAGTGGAGAGAAATGGGGCTGGTGTGCAGGATGTAGGGATGGCTTTGGGTAGCGACTAGGGAGGAGGGTTAGAGGCTGATGTGAAGGAAAAAGAATGGCCAACGAGAGGGAGCAGTTGCTAGCTTTGAAAGTGATGGTTTAGGGTTTGGGTTTTTTTTGTGTTTTTTTTAATTTGTAAAATTGGCCCATGTTGTAGAGTCTAGTATTTATAGGTAAAAATATTACTAGGTTTTCAAACTTGGTCCCTCAACTTCTTCTTTTTTTTTGTAAATCTGATTTTTCTTAGTTTTTTGGATTTTTCTTATCAACATCAACTTGTATGAGGAAAATCGGTGATTTTAAAAATAACACGTTAAAAGTCAAACATTTTCCAAAAACCTTTTAAAATTTAAATGCTTTTGAGATGATACTAAAAATGCTAAAAACGATGCAAATATATATATATATATATATAATATTTTTTGGATCTTCGTTGTTTTTTGTTATTTTTAGATTTTTCTAAACATAGGTCAAAAATTAGATAGCAAAAAATGCCCCCTCTTTACAATGCTTACAAAGCAAAACTTCTCAATGTTTTGCATAGTAAGCTTTGTAAAGAAAACTTGTCTTTTTTTCTTCCTAACTTACTGAATATCCACTCATCTAAAGAACCTTTTTTTTATGTTTCTTTCTCCTTTCTTTTCTTCTTTCTTTCTTTCTCTCTTCTTCTTTTTCTCTTTTTTTTTCCATAACCTGAGATCCCATATGGCGATCTTTTTGAACCAAAACCAAAATTTGCGTGGTTGGGTTAACCTGAGATCCCATCCGGCGATCCTTTTTAACTAGAACCAATATCATGTGTGTGGTTGTGTAATAACCCGACTTTTCAAGCCCAAAACAATAGTAAATTTTTTTTTGTACTTGACACACCTCGTGTCGGGAATTGGAGAACATGTTCCCTTCACAACATCAATATATAATCCATACATCAACAACAATCAACATTTCATTTAAAAGTGAATCTTACATAAACTCATGATATTATGTTTGCATGATTAGAAGTTCGCATTTAAAATATACATGCATAGTCATGAGTTTGTATTCTATCTAACAAATAGTCATCATGAATTTAATCTAAAAGAATCTAATAATAGTTATACGTTTAGTACATTGATTCATATAAAATACATCATGATTTAGAATGTAACTACATGATTCATTGCAAAAGTAGGTTCCCGTGTATCGGGTTTCCTAGGCACCTTATTGGCATGACGTCCCTACTGCAGTACAAAACATTTACAAGAATGCAATTACTTAATAATAATAATAATAATAACAATAAAAAAATGGTCTAGCAATTTAATGAAGCATTAACATTATCTCATGTTTGAAGCGTGACATTTGTAGTTCCTTCATGTTCTTGGTATACACAACTTGCAGTACATATATATATGCACCAATTCTTGCAATCAACTATAATCTTAAATCTAACCATTCTTTTAAGACATCATTTATCGAGGTTAACTATTCACTCACCCCGGCCATCCCCCTTCAAATTCCATCAACCAAAACTAATCAACCGTTTGTCCCGGTCATCCCTTCAAATGAAATTAGTCGAAGCTAATCAATCATTTTTCTCGGCCATCCCTTCAGATACTATTAACCGAAGCTAATCAATCGTTTATCCTGGTCATACATTCGGATGCCATTAGCTAAGGCTAGTCAATTATTTGTCCCGATCATCCCTTCGGATACCATTAGCTGAAGCTAGTCAATTGTTTGTCCCAATCATCCCTTCGGATGCCATTAGCCCAAACTAGTCAATCGTTTGTCCCAGCCATCCTTTTGGATGCCATTAGCCGAAGCTAGTCAATCATTTGTCCCGGTCATCCATTCTACCAGGCTACAAGTTCTTTGCAAGAAGGAGAACCCGGTTCTGCTTTTTAGATAGTAAAAATTGCTCATCAACAAACACTACCCTACAGGGTTTATCAAGACCCAATCTTGGTTGATGACCCATAGCTGGGGTTCTACAGCTCCATATTGAGCAAGACTAATTTTTTAGTTAGCTAACATCCAGAACTACAATTACTATGAAGAAACTTGATCCTAATTCTCTCATCCTTCTACTCAAATTCTCTTCAAAAGTTAGGAGACAAATCTGTCAAGATTCACCAACCTTTCCATTTACACACAACATCCACAATTTAACTTTTTCACTATAATCTCAACCCCTAGCCAAATCACATATCGTTTAAGGTTGTAAAAACAATATCTTTATAAGAGCCAATTTATCTTATTTATTCCAATCTTCCCTCTTAACATCAAAATAAAACATTCTTGTCGATTTTACAAACTTTCCAAACAATATTCTTCTAAACACAATCCTTGACATAGTTTCTATAAACCATAAATAACAAACGAATAATATTCCAAAAAATCTATACTATCAAGTTATAATGCATTATTATGAGTATAACATATCCAAATATTAACTTCATCAAATGGTAAAATTTCCAAAAATATGGGTTTAAGCGAATTGACCTCAAACTTGCAGACCTACTGTGCGAGATACATAACTTCTATACCGAATGTTTGTTTTATATCTCCACCATTCATAATCTAGAAAAAATCAGGAAAAACAACATATCCAAGTTATAGCTTAATCCAATAGTGGCAGAAGGAGAAAACAGACAGCAAAGAAGACTGTCCAGAAGTGTATTTTCCAAGATATTTTCCTCCCTCGATATCTCTCAAACGGGGACTGATATAGAAAATCCCTATAGTGACAATGTATATGACATGGATGAGAACAACATATCCGAATATCATGTTGATCTAATAGTGGAAGGTGGAGTTATAATTGTTGGTTGATTTACCATCAATATATCTTCTCTCCGGCCTCTCTTTAAACTCTCTCTCACTCTTGCCAGTCCTCCAAGAGAGAAAATAAAATGATATTTATAGTTCTAACATCTTTAATTACACATTTATCCCCACCCCTTTTTATCATTTATACATAAACTCCCAACCTTTTGTTATTTGAATATTGACCTCTCTTGATCATATGTATTCATTTTGTCCTCACAAATGTTTTTCTTTTCAATGACTTAGTACTATATTCACTTTTCATTTCATTAATTTTACTATTTTTATCTTGATTTAGGTTTCTTTAATTTAATTTAACCCATTTTACTATTGGTTAAATTTCTCATCTTTTAAATACCCGAAAAAATTATAACCGGGGGTTTGCAGGTTGGGCTAACCTAAGATCCCATTTGGCGATTTACTTTAACCAGAACCAAAATCTGCGTGGTTGGGCTAATGATTAGTACTTAAAAGTGCATTTTTATCAAGGTTTTATATCATCATTTTGCACTTGAAGTATCAATAACTCCTTAACTAAAGTATATTTTATAATAACATATCAAATAATATAAGATACCTTTAACTTATGGTAAATGTTCATTTTAAATGCAGGCCTATCACATAAACTAAAAGGACAAAGAGATGGCCAAACTTAGGAAAGAGATGTTAGTGTAGTAAAAACCAGAATACTGTTTGGTAATTAGGTCATATCTAGAGCTGTGGATCTTGGATTTAGGTTTATTTTATATGGATTGAAAGGTAAGATATAGGCCTACAACTTTTGTATGGAGCCCAAGATTTAAAAAGGCCATTTTCAAGTCCAAATTATAACAACAACAAAGAAGTTTGAATTTGTCCTATAGCCCATGCACTGTTTAGTGTTTGATCCACATCTAGAGTTCTAAAAGTCCAAATGACCTCCAATTTTTTCCTAGACAGTTTCCTACAACTTTCATGTTTTTAAGTGGTTCTAATTATGACATTATTAATGACATGTTGGGCAAATAAGAGAAAATAAGGACTGTCACCAAGTCAAGAGTTGGTCACCCACTCATCAATTAGTCATTAAATCAATAGTTCCCAATTTTGGCCTATAAAAGGAGGCATTTACCATGCATTTAGGCATCTTGTTCTCCAGATCAAGATCATGCTCTTGCTTTCTCTCTTTGTATTTTTTGTACTGTTTATGTTTTGCTTTCATTAATATCATGTTTATGCCTTTCATTTCCTTTCCTTTACTTACTTAACTTTTATCTTATTTGTTCTTATTTTTTTTTTCTTTCTTTCATTATGTTTAGTTAAGTTTATTATGTCAAGGTGAAAAGGTTACACTAATGGTGTAAGAATAAATATAGTGTAAACTCAACATGAACTTTCATGTTTGATACTAACATGTTTTATTTTTCTTATCTTGTTCACTATTTAATACTTTATTTGTTAAATGACTAATCTAGATTTATGTTGTATAACACTTGGTACAACAAATGCTTGGCACTTTCATAGCCCTTACTATATGATATAACTGACACCTGAGCTATGAAAAGAACTTGATTTGTTATGACCATAAGTTATAAGCATGAATGCCTGAAAATACTTACAAGTATTAGCATTATTTGAATAAGATAACTAATGTAATCATGTTAATAATTTATAATCTGATTGGAACCTCTTCTGTTTGTGGTTTTCATTTGAGTAATAAGAGTTTATACTATACTTGTTTGACATACCATTAGTGGATCCTCTAACCTTAACATTTGTTGTTATCATTGTTTAATTCTTACGTTAATCTTTCATCTTAAAGTTCTCATCATCATCATCATCATCATCATCTTCTTCTATTATTATTATTATTATTATTAGTACTACTACTACTACTATTACTATTATTACTACTGCTATTACTACTACTATTGTTGTTGTTATTATTATTGTTACTATTGTTGTTGTTGTATTATTGTTATCTATAATTTATACAATTAACCTCCCTATGGTTCGACCCCGGTCTTGCCAGGTTATTTATTACTTCGACACTCCTGCACTAGGGAGAAGACATCAATCTTTTGGTCATGTCATGTTCTTGGCACCGTTGCCGGGGAGGTAAGTTCTTGTACAAATTATAGTATTTATTTTATTTTCTCTTTTCACTTATCTTGTATATAACTTTATTTCTTCTTTCTTTTTTCTTCTTCTTTTACTTTCTTCTTCCTTTTATTCTATTCCTACACATGCATAAGAGTGTGGTCATGTACATTAAGTGGTAGACTTTGTAGGGTATCCTCATCATTTTCAGAAAATATGGCCAAAGAAGATAATGAATCACTTCATAATGAGAATAACCGTACTAGAACACTTAGAGACTACATGAATCCCACAAGAACAAGTGCACCATCATGCATAGTTTTTCCTCCTGATGCATCTCATTTTAATTTTAAGCTAGGCATTATTCAACTTTTACCTTTTTTTCATGGCTTAGATTTAGAAAATCCATACTTGCATTTAAGGGAATTTGAGGAGGTCTGTAACACCTATAATGACTTAAATTGTAGCATGAACACCATCAAATTAATGTTTTTTCCTTTTTCATTAAAAGATAAAGCTAAAACATGGCTACAAAATTTGAGACTAGGATCCATTCGTTCTTTGGATGAAATGCAACAACAGTTTTTAAAGATGTTTTTCCCATTTCATAGAACAAACTCTTTCAAATATATAGACCTTGGTTGTCCTACAATTTCTTGCTTTATTGGAGAACATAAAATTAAAAGAGCCTTACTTGATCTTGGAACCAGTGTGAATTTACTTCCATATTCTATTTTCCAAAGTCTTAATCTAGGTGAGTTAATATCAACTTTTGTAACTCTTTTACTTGCTGATAGATCTATAAAAGTGACTAGAGGAATAATTAAAGATATGTTAGTATAAGTTGATAAATTCATTTATCTTGTGGATTTTGTTGTCTTGGACACACAACCTATTGAAGCATGTAATTCATTTCTTATTATTTTAGGACGTTCCTTTCTTGCAACTTCTAATGCATTGATTAATTATAGGAATGGACAGATGAAGCTATCTTTTGGAAACATGACATTGGAGATGAATATTTTCAACATTTGCAAACAACCTGGAGATGATAATGATTCACAAGAAGTAGATCTTATTAATGAATTAGTTTATGATTAATTTAAATCTACCGTGAGTAAAACAAAGTTTGATGAATCTAGAGTTGTGCAAATGATTTATTCTTAGAAAGAAATCATAGATAAAAAAAGCACCGAAAATGTTGATGTGAATCTTTTGTCAAGAGTGATAACAAATTCGACATCTGACTTCACACTAATCGATGATTACTTTCTTGATGAATCCTTACTTTCTCTTAGTCCAATGCCTTGGTATGATAAAAATATCAATTTTTTTTACTTGAGGAGATTTGCCAACTGATTGGAGTACCCAAAAAAAAAAAGTTTTTGAACGAACTGAAAAACCATTATTGGGATGACCTTAACTTATTCAAATGATGTCTTGATCAAATATTTCAAAGATGTATTCCTAACAATGAGGTAAGTAGTGTCATTCAACTTTGTCATTCTGAAGCATGTGAGAGTTATTTCTCGTCAAAAAAGACAATTGCAAAAAATTTTCAAAATGGATTTTATTGGCACACCATGTTCAAGGACACGCATGCATTCTGTAAAACTTGTAAAAATTGTCAAAAAGTTGATACTGGTAAAAAAGTTTTGTTTTATAATTCTTAACTCCATTTATTCCCTAGAGAGCTAAGATCAAGATGGGGCAGTCCATTTATTGAAAAACATGTGTATCCTTATGGAGCCTTTGATATTAAGAATCCAAAGAATGTCAATGTTTGAATGATCTTATAAATAAAGGTTGATTTTTTTTTTTCACATTGTTTTTGTGTTTTGATTATTTTTTTTGTGACTCTTGGTTTGCTAGTCTCTCTCACTCGTTTAAATGGCGGATAACAGTACTCCGTGACTCTTAAGTTGGTTCTTTCAGTTTCTCATGATAACTGGTATCTGTGTATATATTTGTTCAATTCCTTATTCCTTCTCTTCTCTTTACATCTCTTTTCCACTTCTTATCTTAAAAAATGGACACCACTCTTGAAAAATTGAAAAAGTATTTCCCCGCTTTGCCTCAAAATGCGATTACAAAAATTTACTGAGCTAGGTGTGCAAGATTAAGGTTGTTAATGAACCATGGAATTCCTAAAGTGATTCGCTGGTTAATTAAAGCAAAGGTCTGATTATCAGGTGAGTCTTCCAATTGTTTCATTTCACACATGCCTGGAACAGGTAAAAGCACTTTTGCAAAGAAATGTCATGCAAAACGACTGAAAGTCTGCCATCGATGTGCCAGATGGACTTGCAATGCACAATTTCGTGCTTTAGGAATGGTATTTGTAAACCGTGAAGATAAAATACTATTCATTAAAGATGGCATGAGTAAGGGGTCTTTAGATAATCTTCTATCGACTTTTGAGACACATCTTAGTGGAGATGTGCATTATGCAATTCATGATTTATGACCACTATTCCATAAAGAACATGCTTGACATAGTCTTGGTAATCTGACTATAAAAGACCTTATTTGTCGGTTTTTAAAAAAATGGATGGGAAGCCTATCCTCAACCTATAGAGAAGATGTTCTTGGATGTAAAACCAAGAGAAGATGTGAGCCACAATCACAACTGCGATTTGAGTTTTCATTTGTGAATCTTTGTGTCTTTTGCTTTTATTATTGTGTTTTGTTGTTTCTTATATTTGTTTAAGTGTGTTTCAGGTTTGTCAGTATTTGTTATTTCAGGTGATGTCTTCTATACTCTATCTTTCTATCTTAGGACAATGTCTCATTTTGGTTAGGGGGGAGGGTAGTGGTTGAAAAAAAATTAATTAGTTGTGTTTTCTATTTCATAAAGCATGTACAAAATTGTTGTTACTAGGATGGTAAAGTAAAGGA